TATATAATTTTTCTCAGTGATTATACTTTAAATATCTTTCCATGTTTGCTATTTTTTACAGGAGATAATTTCAATGATATTTTCAGATTTAATGGCATGAAATTATATATGATAGTCTTTTATAATTTTAAAATGATTTAGATTTTTATGAGTACACCTCCTTTTCTGTATATCTGCAGAAAAAGACCAATGTTCCAGCTCAAGCAGTCAGGCAGAGAGACAGAGAGACAGAGAGAGAAAAAGAGAACTCACCCTTCCTTAGCCTTTTAAAAAAATTTTCAGGCTTTCAAGGGGTTGGATCTGCGCAACCAATTTAGGGAGCACATTTCACTTTACGGAGCCCACTGATTCAAATTCTAATCTCATCCAGAAACGCCTTCACAGACACAACCAGAAATAATGCTTAACCAGATGATCTGAGCATCCTTCAGCTCAGTCAAGTTGACACATAAATTAACCATCATACCTGGGTAATGTGAAATTCAATAGGCTAGTTCAATAATATTTCAGATTCCATTAAGCATATTGGCATCTTCAACTAAAATATTAGTCTAAAATTCTAGACTAATATTTCCTAGAGCATTTCTATAGCTCAGAGAATGAGTTTTTCAAGTTGGAAAGTTAGGATACGATAATCAAATCGTAAGAGTAATTTGATAAATGATTAAGAAGTAGTTTTTATAGAGGACTGCTTTGAGTTCACCTACACAGGAATATAAGCATATGAGGTATGTATCCATATAAGCAACCAGGAGTAGCAACAAGAGTATATACCTATTTCTAAGACACTACTGTACAATAAATTCTATCTTCAAAAAATGTTTATGGCCAAATGGGATAAGTGAGCAAAGGTAAGGAATGAAGGAACTGCAAAGAAGATTTAGGAAACTAGCAAAGAAAGATGGGAATTCTAGAATTTCAGAATCAATTAAAAACCAGAAGCAGAAGTAATTATATGATGCCTATTTATGTAACGAACCATGAGCATAACCCTTACTATGATCCGGAAAAAAAATAAATTTAAAAAAAAAAAAAATATATATATATGAACACACACATATAGAGAGAGATCTTGCCCCTACCCATACCCATACATGAAATGTGAATGAGACAAGATTACCTTCAGTGGAAAAAAAATTACTTATCTTTAATGTGACAGTATTTCTATGTAAAGAGGTGCTAATATATTCAATCCATCTGTGATTCATAACATTAATACAGTGGGTTCAGCATTTTGGAAGTGAAACAGAATAAAAATTACCATACTGGGGAGCATGTGGTAAGAGTAAGTTTTGTTTTATAAAAGTTTTGTTTCTGTTAAATGTTGTATATATATGCTGGATCACTGCTGTAAACTACATATAGAATCCGAAATCCTCACAGACTGAATGGACCCTTATGGGCCAAGGAGATCCCAGAAAAAATTTAAAAACTCAATTCTTGGCCATAATGGGAAGGCAATAAGATACCAAATTATAAACAAGACCTAAGGCCATGGAAGGCAAGGGTTAAGTCACACCTGCAGGCCATCAATCTTGCTATGTAGCATTCTTATCTTAAAACATTCCTTTCTTCTGACTCCAAGTTTTATCAGAGCCTAACTCCTTCAACCAGTTACAAATTCAAGAATCTCTGATTCTACCCATAATCTGTAAGCCCCTACTTCAAGATATCCAGTCTTTTCAGGCCGAACCAGTATATACTTTTCATGTATTGATTTATGACTTTGCCTATAACTTCTGCCTCCCTAAAATGTATAAAACCCAAAACTATAACCCGGCTGCCTCAGGTGCACCATCTCAGGGCTTCTTGAGATTGTGTTTCCCTGAGCCGCGGTCACTCATATTGGCTCAGCATAAACCTCTTTAAAATATTCTACAGAGATTGTTTCTTTCTGTTAACATTGTGTAGAATGTATTTCTTATTGTGGGTTGAAGAAAAGCCTGAAAGCCACTGCCTTAGCCAGGTATAGTGGTTTGTGCCTATAACCCCAGCTAGTCAGCAGGCTGAGGCAGGATTGCTTGAGTCCAGGAGTTTGAGATCGGTCTGAGCAGCACAGTAAGACCCCCCCATCTCTAAAAAAATAAAATAAAATAAAATAAAAAATAAGTTGTACAGTTTGTGTTCAACACCCACCTCCCCAATCACGCCTGAAAAAAAAAATGTTTTGCTTATCAGTTTTTTAGACATTCTGCTTAAATGAATTAGCTTTTCAGATTTATGGAATCATTTTCAAAAATCCCAAGGGAAAAAACAAATTTGTCACATATAAGTTAGAATATAACTTAAATTTCTGTCCTTTTTCTGTCTCTTAAGTGGTATTATTTCTACATACAACACAACAGAGGTTTAGAGAAGACCAATGAAATTGGAAGAAAGCTTAATAGTTTTGAAAAAATGAATACATTTTAACATAGGTGGGGAAATAACATGCAAGGTGAGTTAATGTACTTAGAACAACAGATACAGGATGGATTAGAGGTAATGTGGAAATTGAAGAGGGATCAAAAAGGGAAATACGTAGATGGCATGGATTAGGCATAGAAGAAGCAATAGGACTTCTGGGGAGTTGGAAATACAGGACTGGAACAGAGCTACAAATCTGATGTAGGGTGGAACAAAGCAAGAGATCTGATGTGGGGTGAGAACAAAGATTTAATATGGGATAAGAACAGAGCAGAGATCCAATGTGGGATGAAAACAGAGCTAGAGATCTGATTTGAGATGAGAACTGAGCAGAGATCTGACATAAGATGGGACAGAGTTATTGCTGAGATAATCCTTCTCATAAAGATTGCAAAAGCATTGTGGAAGAGATTCAATTTAAAACCAAGGGGTTGATTTGATCAGGTTTGCCTGCATGCCTTGCTATTGTTTGCTTCTTGCTATTTCTTTTTTCTTTTTCCATGAAGTCAAAGGCTATGGGGCTGAAGTCCTCACTGCTGAATGTTTAAACTTAACCTTCACTGGCTACTTCATAGATAACATTCATAAGTCACACTCATAATGGTTGCTTCAGTTGTTTTTTAGGAACCTGGGTCAGGTCCTGATCGGTTTAAACTAGTTGAAACCACTGACCCTTCAACTAGGTTTGCAAAAGTACCTGAGGTGGCCTTTTGACATCTGAGGGTCCAAAACTCTACTGTCAGATCATGCTAATGTCATTTTCTATACATATGTCCTATGGAATGCCATGAATCCCAACTATGCTTTTACAGAACAAGTCTGTCACTTTTTTTTTCCCACTGCCAATCACTTTTCCCCATGCCTTAAACCACCCCCACTTCTCTCAGCTATAAATATCCCCGAGTCTTACCTTTGGGAAGGCAGATTTGAGAAGTGTTCTCCTGCACCTTTGCTTGGTAGCCTTGCAATGAAATCTTTTCTCTTTTGCAAAACCCATGTCACAGTGATTGATTTACTACATGTGAACAGAGCAGACCTGGACCCGGACCTGGTCAACAACAATTCCCAGTGCAAATACTGAGGAGCATTAGGGGTCCATGGAGGCTTCCAGGGGTTCCCAACCCTTCAGGCAAACATAGAATGAGGCCATTCCTGGAGTCAGTAGTGGGAGGGTTATGGTGAAGAAAGAGAACACCCACTGTTCACCTGCCAGATGGGTTAGGTTTTCCTTATCAATCTTAAAGAAATGAAAAGGCATTCTTAGAAGGGAAGGTTTACTTACAGAGGTTAAAAAGTCCTAAGGTGAATGACAACAGGGTTAAATCTTGGCAAGTAAAGATTCAGCCAAGGCTTTTTGCATTGAAAAGCATTCTGAGACGTGGAGCAGATCCATCTATGGTACTCCGGGCACAGGGCGGGCCCAAGATGCCATGGCTGGCTTCAGGTGACAGCTCACAGCTTTCTTACTCTGTAACATGTTCTGGGTTCTCAAAATAACCTACCAACATCAGGTCTTTCACATTTTACAGAGTGGAAAACAAACATATGCGTTAACCTCTCATGTGATGCAGAATCACAGATAGTTAATAGGACAGCCAGGACAACGAGTCATGTCTCATGATGGCTGTATGTGAAAGCAAAGTATAGCTTTTATTTTCAAAAGTTATTATAAGATGTGTGCACTTGAAAAAATATTTATATACATAGGTAAAATGATTATTAAATCTGTAATTAGAATTTTATAAGAAAAAATAATGGATGATTTCTGATTTGAGGGCCAATACACTATAACATGTTAGAAACTACTAAGAGTGACTCAGAACAAGACTGACTGTCAAATGACTGAATACATATATATATATAAAAAAAACTAAGGAAGAATATAAAAGAAGAGTGAAAGACAGTTGTGGACAACAATCATTTACTGAGTTGAGAAGGAACTACAACACTAGAGATGAAGGCACTCTGACAAAGGATGAAAGACATCACTCAGAAAGAGGTAGGTTGGCCAAATGCACATTGATGATTGGGAGTGAGCATGGAGATGCCAGGTTGAGACTGTTGTCCTGGCCATGAACGCAGCCATTTGGGATCTGAAGAGGAGGCCAGCACTTGCCTCCTCTCACGAGGTACATAATATAACGACAGCATTGTGGAGGCTTCATTTATTTATTTGATTAATTTCTATACTTTGCCTCTGTTTTTACCATTGCTACGAGATATATACCCAATACCTTCATTTACTTAGAGTTCCGGGGATGTGAAAAACCTTAACTCATTTTCATTCTTATAGTTGTAGAGATTCATTTGTTTAAACAATTGGCACAAAATGTCCAAACAAAAGTTGCTTTTTATTTAACCTATTCTAATTTGTGAATGTTATGATTTTACTAGAAGAGAAAATCCAAAAGTATCTTCCCAACTAGGTTGGAAAGCCAATTTAAACAGGATCTTTAGCAGCATCTCAGCTATTGCTGAAAAGCCCTGAAAATGAAGCTCAACCCAAAGCTTGACGGCCTCTGCTCGCCTTATTGGCCCAAATGAATCGCCCGCACATCCAGACTGTACATGGAGAATGAATGGCCTCTACTTACCTTTTTTTCAAAGAATTTCTTCCTTAATTTTGCATCTGTGGGAGGTATTGTTTCCCTCAGGTTTCTGTACCACTTTCTAACAATGTATCCTCTCCAGTAGGCTTGGATTCTAAAACATAGATATTTGAAAACGACAAATTTAGGATGATGCTATTTTAGCAAATTTCATCACTTGCTATAAAGCCTGTGCTGTATGAGGCCCTGAGGAGACAAAATCCCTCCATTTAAAAAAAGCAGTTATAGCTAGATCCCAAACGTCTACCCGACACTGTGTGGGTCTGCAGTCTCAGCAGTGGCAGAGCCCCATCTTACCTTGTCGCGCACCTTATTCTGAACAGGCGGGCGCCATCGTGGATCACTCTGGTTTGATACTGGTTCTTTCTACAGAGAGGGCAGGTTTTTTTATTTGTGAACTTTTCAAAAGCCTGAAGGCATGCCTGAGGAAAAAGATTTCTCTTAACATTTTATAGGTAATTACTGATAAACAATATTTTTACTTCTAATGTAATTATAATGTTCTTTTCTCTCATAATTATGAAACTCAGTCCAATTTAGGTTATAATGTAAAGACGTTTCATCAGATGTTACACCTTCCTCATGAAACCTGTTCCCAAAATGACTTTTTTTGCAAGAATATACATGCAGAGACATCAAAAACTTCTGAAAATCAACTAGTGTAAGGTAAATCATGCCTGTGTGCAAGATTACCATGCAGAGAGAGTCTATGAATTAAGCTATCACTCACCGTGATGTGCATTACTAACAACAATTGGTTGTACAAACATTTGTGGTTCTTTTGTCACATAAAATTCATGATTTTCAAAACAGATCAATCGTCCTGTAGCCTACAGCCATGTTTCCAACTATACATGGTGATTATGAATAAAATAAATGGCTCTTTTTAGGAGACTTTATAATGAGTAAGATTCCTCTGAGCTACAAGAATGATATAGCTCAGATGGCTGATGGGAGTGAGGCAGGATTGACTTACTTTGTGAAATACATGGGAACATGAAAGCAGCACCTGTTCACAAGGAAACAAAAAGATGTTTGAAGTTTAATAAAAGAGATGCGGCATAAATGCGTCAGTTAAAAGAAAAATTCTGAATGCTTAAAAAGTAAGCTGTATTATTTCTTTGAAAAGTCTAAAAAGCAAATTAACAACTTTGATATTTATACTATCTAGTGTTTAAGTTTTACATAGCACAGGTATATAATCTAAACAAACAAAAAAATGAACAATAATCTGAAACATCAAATAAACACACAAAGGCTGATATTAAGTTATTAAAATGAATGTATATCTAAAGGTGAAACAAATACGAAATAGATGGATTTCCCAGTAGACTTTAAGAGTGAATGCAAACTGGAGAGCACTAGTGGGGGAAGGTCCAGGGTAGCAGGGTGGTCGGAGAAGGAGCAGAGCAATGTTAACGCATTTCAGTTCTGGGGTCTTTGTTTAACTAAATTACACTCCTATTTCTTTTTAATCTTCACTTTATTGAGATATAATTCTGACAGCCTTAAATAGCAAGAAATCATGGAGACATATAAGTCTACTTTTCTTTTTTAAATACAGGAAAAGTGTATTTCACCTTTCTGTGATCCAAATTCCCCACCAAACAGTGATATTCTATCTGGGCTGTGACGAAAGACAAAAGCTTAGATGGAATAAAGAAAAAGGTAGTTGGCACCTGAGTAAGAAGATGACCAAGGAAAGAATGGAACCACAGCACCAGAATGAGACAGTGAGCATGCCCAAGGCCCTCGAGAAGCAAAAATTTCCAGCAACTGGGGCTTTTCCTCTCAGCAAGAGAGAAAAGTTCAGGAAACTTGTGGGACTAAGCAAAGAGGGCAGGCAGCAAGCGAGTGCAGCCTGGGACACTCTTGGGTGAGGTTTCAACTCAGATAGCAGAAGCAGAAGGATGTGAGGAAACTTTCCAGTTTTTAAAGACACCATCCCACCTGCCTTCATTCAGTCTATACTTTTCTTCTTAGATGGGAATAAAGGAAGAAATATTGGGAATAAACACAATTCAGAAAGTTCTAAACCTTTTCTTGAAACTTGCTGCCAACAAAGAGTCTAAACTGGACAAACTCAGTAATATGGACCCATTTTTATTATCACCATTTAATCTAACAGCAATCTAAACATAGAAATGGTAACTAGAAAGGCAAAATAAACAGACTAGTATCTATACCTATAACTGAACAAAAATAACAGAATTTAGCAAGAAATTTATAAACAACAGAATGAAAGAAATGTTGGGCAGGATGCCCACTAATGCACGGCCCCCTCATGGGATATTAAGCTTTGAGTTTCCATTTTTCATACAAACAATCAGGCTAAATATTTGTAGTACAATTAAGAAGTAGTTGGCTGAGGCCAACAAGATTCTATTAAGTCTTTTGCTACACTGAAGTACTACTTTATTCTAGATGGTAATTCTGTGGTTTAAGGGCTAAAATCTTTACAAATATTCAGTTTCTACATATGTAAGTTTAGGTCCTGATAGATAACCAGAATATAACAAGTATGTTTAAATTATCTTGTGAATTCTAATCCGTAGAGAACAAAAGTGTAACTTTTGCGAACTTTTTTGCCAGATGATGAAACTTACTGAAACAATAAAGCTTGAGAGCTATGCCAGGGTAGTTATAAAGCCTGGGGTTCCTAGGCTACAAATTCCGGGCCAGGTTTTAACTCTATGTGCTACGTTTTCTCAGCAGTCTCTGAGCGCCTGCTGTGTAAGAAGCATAATGCTACACACTGGGGGAAATCCCTGTAAGGAGACCATTAGTGCAAAAAGAAAGAAAGAAAGAAAAAAAAGCTCTGAGACTATGTCCCTAACTTCCAAGGGTATTAATTAAGGTTTAATTAAGGCAGACAAGATTACAGGAAAAAACCTATGCTATAGGTCATATATCATCTGTAAACCCAGGGTAATATCATCTTACTATGGTAAAGTTTCATGAATAAAGATTGTTAAAATATTTTACTTTTCTTAAAGATTCGCCTTCAAATTCTTTGGAGACACTAAAGCATTCAAGCACAGCTTTTTTTCCCCTTTTCCTCTATGACTCAGATTACAAAACAAAACACCTTAAAAACTCCCTTTGAGCCAGGAGTGGCAGCTCATGCCTTTAAACCCAGCACTTGGGGAGGCTGAGGTGAGAGGACTGCCTGAGCCCAGGGGTTCGAGACCAGACTGGGCAACATGGTAAGACCTTGTCTCTACGTAAATCAAAACATTAGCTGGGCGTGGTAGCACGTGCCTGTGGTTCTAGCTACTGGGAGGACTGAGGAGGAAGGATCACCTGAACCCAGCAGGTCAAGGCTGCGGTGGCCGTGAGCGTGCTACTGAACTCCAGCCTGGGCAACAAAGTGACACTCCGACTCAAAAAAACCACCAAAAACAAACACAAAACTCCCTTTGCCTTCATCCTTCCTGCGCCCCCCATCAATTGTCCTAAGCGACTTCTTCAGCTGTGTGGCCCAGTGAACCAAAGCCTTCCTCTCATATACATTTTAGTACTGGAGAATTAAGACCATTCAGTAAATAAGCAAAACTCATTTAATGAGAATGTTTAGCTCTTTTTCACGTTTAGACTTTAATGGAAAAGAAATGTTAAGTATTTGAGGCTCACATAGGAGAATGGAACTGGATAAAGGAAGCCTAGAATCTTAGGCTCCAACTTATCATCCAGTCACCAGGAAAACAGTCTCACAATCTATCTAGTCTTCTTACGCTAAACACCTGGGGATGAAGTTCAAATTCTTCTTTACATATTGGGCATGGCTGCATAGAATCCCCTTGCAGGGTGGACCTTTGTTTCACTTTCTCCCATTCACCTGATGACAGTGGCAATGGGGGAGGTCCAAAGAGGCCCAGCTTCTGTGCTAAAGATAAGAGAAGACACAATATGAGTTAGAATGTATTTTGGAGTATGATACCCATTTGCAGAACATATGGTAAAGCAGCAGTTCCCAATCATTTCGGCATCAGGGCTCAGTTTTATGGAAGACAGTTCTTCCATGGGCCAGGGTGGGGGGGATGTGCAGTCAATCCTCACTGCTAATGTTAAACTGTGTTTGCAGCCATTCCCCCAGGGTTAGCATCACTGCCTCTGCTTCACCTCAGATCATCAGGCAATAGATTCTCATAAGGAGTGCGTAGCCTAGATCCCTCACGTGTGCTGTTCACAATAGGATTCTTGCTCCTATGAGAATCTAATGCTGCCCCTGATCTGACAGGAGGTGGTGCTCAGGTGATAATTCTAGCCATGGGAGCAGCTGTAAATACAGATGAAGCTTTGCTTGCTTGCTCACCCTGCTTACCTTCTGCTGTGTGGCCTGGTTCCTAACAGAACATGGACAGGTATAGGTCTGTAGCCTAGGGGTTACATGTATATCACATACTTTATTTTACAATACAAGCCATCCCTCAGCATCCACAGGGAGCTGGTTCCAGGACCTCCCTCAGATACCAAAATCCACAGATGCTCAAGTCCCTGATATAAAATGGCATCTTATTTGCATATAACCCTCTTGTGTACTGCAAATCATCTCTAGATTATTTATAATTCCAAATATAAGCAGTTGTTATAATGGATTGTTTTTATTTGTATTATTTATATTATATCGCTATATTATTCCATTCATTTTTTAAAAATTTCAATCTGTGGTTGGTTGAATCTGCAGATACAGAACCCACAGATATTGAGGGCTGAGTGTAAACAGGATGCTGTTTTTCTATGTGGGCACAGAAGTTAGTGATGATACCTTACATTTTCAATAAGTTTATGCTTTTATTTACAAATAATATCCGATGTCTTTTTTCATTTTCACAATAATTCTATGGGCAAGCCAGATTGACATCCAAGTTTATTGAAGAAAAACGGAAGAATATGAATTTTTCACATATATGGCCAGGAGTCCTCACATTTCTCACTGCTTTAACTTTTAACCTCCAGGACCTTGCTTCTACCATCACAGTGACCTTTATACCAATCATGTGCCTCCCCTATTCAAAAATTCCTATGTCATAAATTACTGTCAGGATAAATGACTTAATTCAACAATGTGTGAGTACCCATTACGTGTTTACTCTGGACAAGCTTATAATCCAGTGGGAAACACTCACTTTGAAAAAGTTAACTGCAACATACTCAGGCAAAATGCTGATAGGAATGTCAGTATCAACTTCCACTACCAAATAAATGAATTTAAAAAATTAACCTACAGGGCTATCTTCAGAGATATAAGATAAAATGTTCTATCTACAAGAAGGAGCAGGAAGCTATGGCAGAGGGACACTCAAAAGGACAGAAAGAACTCTTGGAAATGGAACTTTATATGTGAATGTCAACCGAAAGGCTGGAAGAGAAAACTAAGATACAGTCATGCATTGCTTAACAACAGGGATATGTCCCAAGAAATGCTTGTTAGGTGATTTTGTTGTGTGAACATCACAGAGTGCGCTTACACAAACACAGATGGTATAACCAACTACACACCTAGGCTAGAAGGTACAGCCCGTTGTTCCTTGGCTACAAAACTGTACAGAGTGTCCCTGTGCTGAATACTGTAGGCGACTCTAACACAATGGTAAGCATTTGTGTATCTAAACATACCACAGAAATACGGTATGAAGGATTAAAAATGGTACACTTGTATCAGGCACTGACCATGCTTGGAGCTTCCAGGACTGGAAGCTGCTCCAGCTAAGCCACTGAGTGGTGAGTGGCTGCGAAGGCCTAGGGCATCACTGAACCCCACTAAACATTCTTTGTAAGCGCTATACACTTAGGTTACACTAAATTCATAAAAAATTCCTCAATAATAAATTAACCTCAGCTTACTGTAGCATTTTTACTTTATAAACTTTTTATTTTATAACTTTTTGAATCTTTTGTAATAATACTTAGCTTAAAACACAAACACACTGTATAAAATATTAAAATATTAAAACACAAACACGCTGTTCAAAATATTTTATTTCTTTATACCTTTATTCCATAAGCTTTTTTCTATTTTTGAAATCTTTTTTCTTTCTTTTAAAACTTTTTTGTTAAAAATTAAGACACACGCATGTTTGGCTAGGCCTACATAGGGTCAAGGTCATTAAGAGTTCACTAGATGGTAGGAATTTTTCAGCTCCGTTATAATCTTATGGGATCATCAAGATATATGTGGTCCATCGTTGACTGAAATGTTATCTGGCACATGACTGTAATCTCACAGAAAGCAGAAAAAACAGACACAGCAGGAATTAGAAAATAAGAACATTAAAGGATCAGTCTAGGTGGCCTGGCATCTGAAAAACAAGCATTCCAGAAAGACAACGGAGAAAATGGAGAGTAAAAATTGTAAAGAAAATAATCTAAAACATCTCCTGGAATATGAGTTTCTGGTTTGAGAGAACCCAGTAAGTACCCAGAACACCAAGTCCCATCATTGTGAAAATTTCAGTGACAAAAAATAGATCTTAAAAGAAACAGGTCTCAAAAAAGGATCAGGCATCAGAACTGCATAAGACGTATCTATGGCAATACAGACATGATAATACAATTCTTTTAAAATTCTGAGGGAAAAGAGATTTCCATATTAAAATTCCTTATTAGCTGTCAATCAAACGTGAGAAAAGAAATATAAATATTTTTATGAACATAAATTTGTAGATTGATCATTATGCACTACTTCTTAGGAAGCTGCTGAAGGAAGAACTTCACCACAATGAGAGAGTAAACCAAGAAAGAAGTCATGAAGTCAGGGAAAAAGAACAACCTAACAAAAAGAGTTCCACGGGACCTACAGATGAAGCTGAAAAGGGAACCCGGGTTGAGAGTCCTACATCAACCCTGCAGAGCAACTGGCCCATAGGGAGCAGAATGGTGAAGAATTCTAGAAGGAATGTCCTCAAGGAGATCTCATGATCAACACACCTAATGGACTTTAAGTTACTGAGAGAATAGGCTTCCAGAGGAGATTTTAGGGATGAATTAGTGGTGAGTGATAGAGAAAATTAAACATGTGAAAAAATATCGGCTGGGCTCAGAGGCTCAGCCTATAATCCCAGCACTTTGGGAGGGCGAGGAGAATAGACTGCCTGAGCCTGAGGGTTCAAGACCAGCCCGGGCAACTTGGTGAGACCTCATATCTACAATAAATAAAAAATTAGCCAGGCATGGTAGCGTGCACCTGTAGTTCCGGCTACTTGGATGGCTGAGGTAGAAGGATCGCCAGAGCCCAGCAGGTCAATGCTGGGGTGGCTGTGAGTGTGCCACTGCACTGGGCGACAGAGTGAGACTCCATCTCAAGAAAAAAAGAAAAAGGAAAAAAGAAAAAATATCATTCATGGGAAAATAAAATGTATGACAAGGAACACCACATTGCTCAGCTGCTAATTATAAGAGTGTAAATACTGATTATTATCAATCTATCAGCTAGTTATGAAAACAATAATGGGGTAAGGATAGGAAAATGTTATGTGGGTAAAAATATAACATTCTAAATCTTCACCTTCCACAGTAAGAAGAGACAAATCTAGAACTGAAAATGAAAGAAACAGCAGGATAGGCATGTTATTCAAAAAAAATTAAGACTACCAGAAGAAAGTACTAAAGGATTTGAAAATGATTGTCTCAGATTAATGACAAAAATGGGGCACAGAAATGCTATATTTATAGTCCCCATAGAACTATTTCATCTTTAAAACGATGTACACTTTGACAAGAATAAAGTAGCTACTAGTGTGATGAATGTTATAAAGAATGAAGTGCAATATGCTATGGAACCTCAGACCAGGAGAAGTAACGCTAGAGAAAAGATTACCTTATCAAAGTGGCATTAAAGGGAGACCTGCCGAGTGCAGTGATAGCCACAATGTGAAGAGGAGGGGAAGTTTTCCAGATGGAAGAAAAAGATGTGGAGATGGCATTCAAGTGAGAGAGCACATGTCCTGTTGAGAAACTGAGAGACCAGTAAGACTGAAGAAGACAGAACCGAGGCTGCAGAGAAAGGGAGTAGCCTCAGGCCAGCTCTGCAGCTTCAGCTCACAGGCAACCTGGCTGACTGTGTGGCAGCTGGGGCCATCCCTCCTGAGACACAGTTGGCTTTCCTGGGCATTCCCAACACAATCCAGACTCTGCTAGGGTTGGTGTCAAGGGCTTCAACCTCAGGCAACCACATTTCCCCATCATGCAAATCTAGCCTTCTATATATCTATAAAGTAATCAAGGGCTGAGAACTGGAAGGAAAATAAACAATTTTATTGACAGATTTCACCAAACTGCTGTGTTCTCTGACCAGATGAAATAATGTTTAAAATCTATACCACAGGCCGGGCACGGTGGCTCAAGACTGTAATACCAGCACTTTAGGAGGCCGAGGTGAGAGGATTGCCTGAGTCCAGGGGTTTGAGACCAGTCTGGGCAACTTGGTGAGACCTTGTCTCTACAATAAATCAAAAAATTAGCCAGGTGGAGGCTGCGGTGGCCGTGAGTGTTCCACTGCACTCCAGTCTGGGTGACAGAGTTGAGACTGAACTCAGAATAATAATAATAATAATAATAATAATAATAATAATAATAAATAATAATTCTATAGCATACCTAGTGCCCAGACATTGGTTTCTAAATCCTATTCCCCAGTGACAGGAACCAAGGCTTCTTGGAGGCATGGTTTGACTCTAGGGCTGGGGCAAGGAATATACAAGATAAGTATCTAGGATCTTGTAGTAGCAGAAAGTAAGGAAGCACACAAAAATAAAAGGATGAGGACCAACCTGAAGGAGTCAGTGGCCAAAGATGCTACAGTAAGAGTAACAAAATAAACAGCAATGGTAGTGGACTAGAAGCCAAAGTATGAAATAAGTGTACAGGAGACTGTGCTGATATAAA